CTAGGAGGGCTCCTGGGAGCTCCAGGCTGGGGTCCCAGCACCAGACAAAGGGCCTGTGGCCACGTGGGCAGAAGGTGCTGGCTGTTTGTGGTGGGCAACCCAACAGCCGAAAGGGAAGGGGCGGAGAGAGGGTACTGTTTCTTTCGGTAGTCAAGAGAGGAGCAGATAGAGGAGTTCTCCACAGGAGTCAAGGGAGCAGTGGACGGAGTTCCCTGCAGGAGTCAAGGGAGGAGCAGAGGGAGGAGCAGATGGAGGAGTTCTCCGCAGGAGTCAAGGGAGGAGTAGACAGAGGAGTTCTCCACAGGAGTCAAGGGAGGAGCAGACGGAGGAGTTCTCCCCAGGACTCAAGGGAGGAGCAGGTGGAGGAGTTCTCCACAGGACTAGAGGGAGGAGCGGATGGAGGAGTTCTCCACAGGACTTGAGGGAGGAGCAGGTGGAGGAGTTCTCCACAGGACTCGAGGGAGGAGCGGATGGAGGAGTTCTCCACAGGACTTGAGGGAGGAGCAGGTGGAGGAGTTCTCCACAGGACTCAAGGGAGAAGTGGATAGAGGAGTTCTCCACAGGAGTCCCATGCTGGGGCCAGGAGGGCTCTGGTAGCAGATGGCTGATCCCAGCTGTTTTTTATAGAGTGGCCTTTTCCCCAGGTCTCTTGCATTCATGATGCAGTGTAATGTGCAGTGCCAGTGTTTTCTGCCCTGGGGTCTGGCGCAGACTACTCCAGTCCTCAGGAGGATCCCTCAATGCAGCTGCGTCACTTTGTTTGTTTGTTTGTTTCTTTTTTTTTGTTTGTTTGTTTTTTTGAGATGGAGTCTTGCCCCGTTGCCCAGACAGGAGTGCAGTGGTGCAATCTTGGCTCACCATAACCTCTGCCTCCTGGGTTCAAGTAATTCTGTTTCGGCTTCCCGAGTAGCTGGAATTGCAGGCACATGCTGCCACGCCTGGCTAATTTCTTGTATTTTTTTTAGTAGGGATGGGGTTTTACCGTGTTCCCCAGACTGGTCTCGACCCCCTGAGCTCAGGTAGCCCACCCCCCTCGGCCTCTCAAAGTGCTGGGATTACAGGCGTGAGCCACCACGCCTGGCCCGCTGGATCACCTTCTTCTCGGCTCTGCTTACTTTTGAAATTAAGATTGTTTCTCAACACTTTTATGGTTGTTGTGAAGAGAACTTAATTTTTATTTTTTCTACCTGTTTTTTGCTGATACCAAGGGAAGCTATTGATGCAATAATTAATGATTTTCACAAGGGCTAGTAAGGGCGCGTTTGGCCTTTTTCTTCCCAGGTGCCATCAGGCCGTGTTGGTGCTATGGTGCTCCCCGCTGGTCCCAGGGTGCCCCACCCCTAACTGGTCACCCTGGTGCTGGCTGTGGTTGCCCAGGCCTCTCTGGGGCAGCGAGGTCGCTGGCACCTGCTGACTCCTGGTATCTGCGTCTGTGGCCTTGTCTCTGGTTGGCGCCGCTGTGGACTCTTCCAGTGTGCCTGGCGAATCTCTGCAAGTGACGCTGGTTGTGGCTTTCCTGTTCTGTGTGGCGTTGTGTTTAGGTTTTCATGCTGTTGTTAACACTTTTTTAAAGCTGTCTGCCCCGTCCCTCTGTTGGCCGCCATCTTGGTATTTTCTGACTTCTGACCTGAGTCCTGGTGTTTCGGTGGCAAACGCTGCCTGTAAGAGTAAAGTTTTGTTGGAGCGCAGCCATGATGCTTTGCTCGCAGATCCTCTCTGGCTGCTTTCCTGCCGCAGCGGCAGAGTTGAGTGGCTGTGACAGAGACTGGATGACCCTCAAGCCCGAATCATTTGCTGGGTACCCCCTGAGAAGTGTGTGGCCCCGGGACCCTCTCTCCAACCCTCCCCCGGGCCTGGCTTGTAAACCTTTATGTTGGAACTGCAGGACGCCTGTTGGGCTTTTTTCTTACCAGGCAGAATTCCTGCTTCACAGAGTTTATGCCAGGGGTGTCAAATCTTTTGGTTTTTCTGGGCTACAATGGAAGATGAAGAATTGTCTTGGGCCACACAAAATAGAATAACACTAACAATAGGTGAGCTGAAAATAAGAAAGCTTACAAAATTTACAAATTTGTGTTGGGCTATATTCAAAGCTGTCCTGGGCCACATGCAGCCTGTGGGCCACGGGTCAGACAAGCCTGGTTTACACTCCATTGGGGAGCCATCAGCAGTGGAAAATGGTAAATTGTTCAGTATTAGAAAGTGTAGAGAAGAGTGTGGCATGGAGGGGTGAGATGGCGCAGGGTCCAGGCCAGGTGTGTGCCCCACCTGGCTGCTGTGTGCCCTGTGCTGACCCCCTCACAGGCTTTTGAGTGTAAGGGACGGTTCTCTTCACGCCCCCACATCCTCCTGTGTCTCCAGGGCTTGTGTGTCCCAGGGGAGTAGCTCCCTGGACACACCCTGGTGGGGTGCTGGCTGGTGGGGAGGGACGTGATGAGAAGCCCGGGCAGTGCCTCCCCCTGGGCCAGGCAAGTGCAGTGCCAGGTTGTGACAACCATGGTCACCTGTGTGTTTCAAAGATGATGGCAGTGATAGGTCCCCTTTTAGGCCTGGCATGGAAAAGTCACGTTCATAGACCCTGTCACAAAATGGGCACTGGTGAGGTTTATTAAACAATGTCATCTTTTATAGTTCTCATTTTCAGTTGGTTCAGCTTTTTCTAGCAGCATGGTGTGTTTTGGGAACGTGTGTTTTGCTGTTATTGGTGCTACTCAGTACGATTTTATCTAATGTAAGAAGAGACTAATCAACTGTAATCTCCGTTAACTACAAACACAAATGTAGTTGAATATAGTTTTTCTAATAGAAATCAAAGTTAGCTTTAGCCAAGGAGCACCTTTGCTGTTGGCTTATATGTTAATGTGTTTAGCACCTCGAGGTGTCCTTACTGGGAGGTAAGGGCTGCATCTTGAGTATAAAGATTTTACAGGAAAATAAGTCCAGTGCACAAATCTGAAAATTAATAGCATCTTCAGCCAGGCATGGTGGCTCATGCCTGCAATCCCAGCACTTTGGGAGGTCAAGGTTGGTAGATCATGAGGTCAAGAGATCGAGACCATCCTGGCCAGTATGGTGAAACCCCGTCTCTACTAAAAATACAAGAATTAGCTGGGTGTGGTAGCGCGTGCCTTTAGTCCCAGCTACTCGGGAGCCTGAGGCAGGAGAATGGCTTGTACCCAGGAGGCGGAGGTTGCAGTGAACCGAGATTGCGCCACTGCACTCCAGCCTGGCAACAGGGTGAGATGTTTTTGTCTCAAAAACAAAAAAAAAAAACAAAAAACAAATGAAACCGTTTGTGTTTTGGTGGTTGTTACTGAGCCCCTGTGTCACAGCCCATGAGGAAACCTGTAGGTAGTAAATCTAAGGAGGACCCACATGAGGGCCTTTCCTGCAGCTCCTTACATTCTCAAGCCAGTAATTGTGGTTTTGTAGTATCTATTAAATATCAACCGAGAAAAATGACTTCATATTAAGAAATTCCAGAGGCTATAACTGGGTCTGTCTTAGTTCTGAAGTGTCAGTGGAGACCCACACTCATACCCACACTCGTAAGGGCAGGACACGGGAGGCTGTGGCCGCAGATCCTGTGTGACTCACATGGGGTTTCCCAGTAAGGTGCTGGCTTTGAAATGGGAGCTAGCAAAGCCACACCTGGCCCCTGGCCTGAGGAGTGGGGACTTGGGTACTGAGGCCACTTTGCTGTGGGGCATGGGGGGCCCAGCAGGCCAGCACGCACCCCTTGTGCATCTTGTTGACATGAACGCTGAGTGGACAGACCCTGGCCGGTGTCCTGTTAACTGGTCCCGCTTAGCAGTCAGCCTTTACAGCCAGCCTGGGACGTGCCTGGCGGGAGCTCTGGAAGGTCTGTGTCCTAGGAGCTCCTCTTAGTTCCGGGCCTACCAGGATGGGCGGTCACCCCACATACAGGGTTTTAAATATTCACACGTTACACCAGGGATCTAGTGGTGTTGCCTCGGGCAGGAGTGGAGGCTGAGGGTCTGCACATTTACTGCTCTGCGTGGGCTCTGTCCTGGGAGCAAGGTGGAGCCCACATTGGGAGATTGTAGTCTTTGTAAAGGTGGACAGCAGTGAGTCATGAACCGCAAGCTTGTAGGTTTTGGACCGGGGGGCGTGTCTGGCTAAGCCTCCTCATGGCTGCACAGAGCCTCAGCGGGGCATTGTATTTGATGGCAAATGGGAATGAAATCACAGCACAGTGGTCTTTTCCAGGGAAGATGCTGCACTTAGTTCTTGCAGCTTTTCCCTGTTGTCAGCCACGGGGGTCTCCGTAAGATTCTTCCCTGTCCTTGGGGGTCACCTTCCAGGAAAGGGTGGGTGTCAGAGTGAGCGCGGCTTTGAAAGGCTGATGCTGACTGTGAGGGCGTGCCCAGTGGCATCCCGTTCTTCAGGCGATGGTGCCATTGAGCTTTCCATGTGGAACTAAGCTTATGCAGGGTTCAGGATACCTTCAGAGTAAATTGACTGACTACCTGGTTGATGAAAAGAATCCCTTTTTTAAAAAGAAGTTCTAGAGAAAACTCTGTAACTGCTGTATTAGTTATCTGTTGCTGTGAAACAGACACGTTTAGTGGCTTAAGACAACAGTAAGCTCTTTTATCCCACACAGTGGCTGTGGGCCAGGAGTTTGGAAGTGGCTCAGTTGGGTGCTTCTGTCCTGGAGTCTCAGGCAGATGCAGTTGAGATGTTGCCCAGCTCTGTGGGCATCAAGGCCAAGGTCTGGGAGTCCACCTCCAGGATGTGTCACCCATATGGCAGTGTCAGCATGAGCCCTCAGCACCAGGACCACCTCAGGGCTGCTTAAGCATCCTTACACCATGGCACCAACTTTCCCAAGAGGGCAGGGAGTGACCTACCTTCAGAAGTCACCCCTTATTTCCATCCTCCTGGAGCTCATAAAAGTCAGTTCAGGGAGGAAATGGTGGTGTGGTGGTGAGTGTATGCAGGGGATCCTGTCAGAAGGTGACACGGTGGTGAGTGTCTGCAGGGGAGCCTGTAGAAAGAAGGCGGTGTGGTGGTGAGTGTGTGCAGGGAAACCTGTAGGAAGGTGACACGGTAGTGAGTGTGTGCATGGAAACCTGTAGGAAGGTGACGTGGTAGTGAGTGTGTGCAGGGAAACCTGTAGGAAGGCGGTGTGGTGGTGTATTCAGGGAAACCTGTAGGATGGTGGTGTGGTGGTGTGCTCAGGGAAACCTGTAGGAAGGCGACGCGGTAGTGAGTGTGTGCAGGGAAACCTGTAGGAGGGTGGTGTGGTGGTGTGTGCAGGGAAACCTGTAGGAAGGTGGTGTGGTGGTGGTGTGTGGAGGGAAACCTGTAGGAAGGCGGCGTGGTGGTGTGTGGAGGGAAACCTGTAGGAAGGCGGTGTGATGGTGAGTGTGTGCAGGGGAGCCTGTAGGAAGGCAGTGTGGTGGTGTGGGGGAGGAAACCTGTAGGAAGGAGGTGTGGTGGTGGTGTGTGGGGGGAAACCTGTAGGAAGGCGGCGTGGTGGTGGTGTGTGGAGGGAAACCTGTAGGAAGACGGCGTGGTGGTGTGTGGGGGGAAACCTGTAGGAAGGCGGCGCGGTGGTGTGTGGGGGGAAACCTGTAGGAAGGCGGCGTGGTGGTGTGTGTGGGGGAACCTGTAGGAAGGCAGTGTCATGGTGGTGTGTGGAGGGAAACCTGTAGGAAGGCCGTGTGGTGGTGTGTGGAGGGAAACATGTAGGAAGGCGGTGTGATGGTGAATGTGTGCAGGGGAGCCTGTAGGAAGGCAGTGTGGTGGTGGGGGGGGGAACCTGTAGGAAGGAGGTGTGGGGTGTGTGTGTGTGTGTGTGTGTGTGTGTGTGCAGGGGAGCCTGTTGGAAGGAAGGCGGCACAGTGTTGACTGCTTAGAGTCGAGCTTAGCTTATGAATAGCATCTTCTTGTGCCCTCACCTGGTGGAAGGGGCGAGGGAGTCCCTTTTATCAGGGCATAAATTTCATCCAGGAGGCTGTGCCCTCATGACCCAGTCACCTCCCGAATACCCTCCCATGCAGGATTAGGATGGCCACACGTGACGATGCTGCAGAGCCTTCCTGGAGGCTGTGTGCCACAGCCCCGCTGTCAGCTGCCGGCGCACGCTCCCGTCTCCCAGTTCACCCTCCTCCACAGCTGGTTTGTAGAACGTTAGTATGACTGTTCTTCAGATGATTGTGAACAGAGGCAGTCTAGGTGGTGGTTTTGTTTTCTGATTTCCTTTATGGAAAGGAGAATTTGCATTTCCCTTGTGATTTTGACACGTGTTATGAAATGTGTTTGTCAAACTCAGTGTAGGGTAAGCACATCCCACCAAGATAGACACTTACAAGCAGCCGCAGGAACCTACGGCGTAGTTTCCTTTTTTGGTCAGATTTCCTGTCTTACAGGCTTATGTTCCTAGTTGGAAATTAAGGTTGACCCTGTAGCCAGGTGTGTGTGTACTCATCCTCCATCTCTGGAGAGGTCTGCTTCAGAGGCCCTGCGGCCTGAAAGTCATGCCTCTGAGTCCGTGGTTCTGAGGGTGGCTTTGCAGTGTGCAGAGATGGTTCTGGTTGTCCCACTCGGGATGAAGGCTGAGGATGCCGGCAAACACCCAGCACCCGGCAGAGCCGCGCAGGTGGTGGCGTCAGCGCGGCTGCTGCTGCCGAGACAGCGCAGGGTGTCATCCACCTCCCGGCCTCCTGGGTCCAGAGCGTCTCCAGGAGAAAGCTGAGGAAAGCGGCCAGCCGTGAGCTGAAGGCGCTTGCCAGGGATCTGGTGACACCTGGGCACATGGCCGGTGGGAGCAGCAGGCTGAGGCCATGGATTTTGAAGCGCTGCTGCCATTTCTACTTTCAGAATCATGAGTTGCATAAGAAAGAGGAATGGAAGGGTTTTTCCTGGAGTGAAATGGTGCTTGTGGCAGATACAGGAACCACGGACGATGCCACGCTTGTGTCAGCAGTGCGACGCTGGCCCAGACGTCGGTCTTGTTCTCTCCTCGCCGGCTCTCGTCGCTGTGTGGGCCGCGTGCCGCACAGGTACAGCCGAGCTTTATGTCCTAACATCGAAGGCGCGGAGAAAGGCCAGCCCCTTCCCTTCACCCTGTCCCAGACTTCCCGGAAGCGCTGCTTGGGTCCGCAGCCTGGCCCGTTAACTCCCCGGGCAGCTGCTGCGGAGGAAGAAGCACTGCCCGGAAGGAGATGCCGTGCTGGTGGGTGGTGGTGACACGGCGGGGCGGGGTTGTGGGGCGGGGCGGGTTGTGGTCTCCTGGACTTGTGTTTCCTGGGGGGGGGGGGG